AATTTTGTGGTGCCTAGTAGCAGGTAGATTATTTTTACTTCTAGTGTTAAGTGTATGTATTTCACTATTTTTTTGTAACAATCAATTTGTCATAAATGTATTTCTGAAGGAATCCCTAACTTTAAGATTATAAATTGATCGAATAGCCCTCTTCTGCAACACAAATATAGTTTGAGTGTCAGCGGCATTTCCTCACAGTATAATATCGTAAGACATTAAACTATGAAAATAACTGTAGTAGGCTAATCTGGCAGTTTCTATATTCGTTTACTGTCGAATTTTCATTTCAGCATAATTATGCTGCAGAAATAAGTCTCTACGACAATCTTTCAATATGTGGGCTCTAGCTAAGAATCTAGTGTGATTCCTAAGAACACTGTGGTATCTGCAAGGCACATATTATGTTGATCCTTTACATTTACTGTTGTAATATGTTGTTACCTTTTTTTGTTAATATGTTTTTACTTTTTTTTTTATTATAACGCAGGCAAAACCTCTACTTACAGACGTTGGCGCCCTTATGGGGCACGCCAACGAACGGACCTCACACCTAGCCTCTCGCAAGTCCACGGGTGCGAAACGGAGAAGCTGTTAAGCAGTCCGCGTGGCTTACGAGTCCTTACGGCATACTATCCGCTAAAGAACCCTTCGAATACCCTCTACGCTGTTAAGTGCGGAACCGCGAGATCCCCGTTGAATGACTTCACCGCGTCACCGCACCAAATAGCCTCCAGGTCTAGCCAGGGCTCAAGGATCATCCGGTCGATCTCGTAGATGTGCGTAGGACTGCCCGCGCTAGGAGCTAAGTGCGTGGCCTATTGCCCACCGCACCGCTCCCCGTCCGCTGCGGAAGGGCTACTAGGCAGGCGTTTCCCTCGCAGGCCCTTCCACGGCCCTCTCATGTAGGACAGAACTACAAGAGAGAGCTGCTGTCACGGAATCCATCGGTGACCGGCATAGCTAACGCCATGCCGAGCAGCGAGGGATTCCCTCAGGTAGGGGGGGGGGGGGGGGGGGTCACAGGGCGGGCACGGCCAGGACGCGCCTTCGCCTTCGCCTTCCCCTACCTATCCTTCTGCGGCGGGAGGGAGCGGCCAGAGGATTATCCTCGCTTTCCCTCTGGGTCGCCTTCCAAGCCGTCTCGCCGCTGAGTATGAACTCGACCATGCTCAGCAGCTAGAGGGTTCCGCATCCTAGCGCCGTGATTAGCACGCGGCGTACTGGGCCGTACGTGTGCTGGGCCGTATCGCATTGGTTTTTATCTATATGACATTTACAAATTTCAAACACTTAGTTTTCCCTTCATTTAGCAGCAAATTATTAACATTGAACCAGCGGACTACCTTAGATATAAAACTGAACCACACAAACATTTCAAACACATTTGTATAAATGTGAATATATAATAATATAACTTATATAAATATTATGTAAATACACTCGACCGCAAATAAACTGGATCACCGGCTAGTATCTTGAAACTCTGATTCGATTTGCGCAAAAAGTATAAAACTTATAAGTAATATAGTTATAACTACAGAAAGAGCGTTTCATAATGATTAAAATTTTGTTCTAAGGTACTGTCAATTTACTGTGTAATCAAGCAAGAAACAGAATGCTACTGATTTGCAAATTTTTGAATAAAGTTGCCATTAACGTTCTTTTTTATAAAATGAAGCTACCTAGTCCGGTCCTTCTTATAATGTCTTTGGTTTCTGTCTATAGTTTTCTCTGACGCGTGGTTTTTTTCTACTATTTTTCTACTAATTAAAACAAAAAAAACTCCATTGGAAAATTATTAACAAAAACTAAAAAAAAAAATTATCTCAATAATATCCTATTCATTTTAATCATCATGAGACGCACTTCCGTTCTGTAGGTAAAACTTCGATAGTTATAAGTTTAATACTTTTTGAGAAAACAAATTAGTTTCCCGATTTATATGCTGTCCAGTTTTAAGTCAAGTTGTATCGAATTCCAGGAGTGACTTAATGCGGTTCCTCCATATTAAAAATGATTGCTGCTGTACTTGGATATGAAAGGGCTTGAAATCTGGCACATAGCACATAGTTCGGAATGGTATCATAGATTTTCTATTAAGTTTTTTTTTAAACATAATTAGCAACCTTTTTGAGTCGCGATTACTAAAGAGTTAGTAGTAATAAATATCCTAGAATAAATGAAAAACCATAGTGAAATGGGGTGAAACTGTAATTATTGAATTTTTCAAACTTCTCAGCTCATCGTATTAGATTTTGTACTTACAGAGCTTATCAATTTATCACAAGATCAATAGCATTCAATTCAAATATTTGTAACTCAAAGTTCCATTTAAATCGTTTCTATTGATTCAGCATAGCTTCTGATTGTGGCATCCACTCAAACTTGCAAATCTTAAGTCAATAATTCAGCCCGTCCCCATTTAACATATATCTTGTAGTCAAGACACCGAGCAAATATTATCAGGCACCACATCATAGGGTACTCTCGGCGGTCCCTCTCTGATTTCCACTTAGATTAAAAGGGTCATAGCGACACCTGGCGACCGATTTGTCAATGTCCCATTGTACAAACGAAACCCTAATATAAAAAACAAGACGTTCTTGATTTTCACATACTTTCAGGGTCATTTCTGTCTGCCGGTAAATTATTTTCTCAAAATTTCTCAACATTGAGGTTGTGGTAGTAAAAAATTGAAAGATATATTCAAGACTATGACACAAAAAATTAACTTAGGTCGTGATCGAGTTAAATTTATTATAGCAAAAAATCTTTTGAATGTAATAATATCAATTTAAAAGCTGTTCTGGAATTCGAGGGCTCAACTTTAACTTTGTACCTCAATTTAGCCTACATTAATATTAATTACAACATTTCGGCTATGCAATTAATTAAAGGCGATTGCCCGGCCATTTCTTTCTTAATTGGAGTGACCATTGGACCGGCAAGATGAGGCGATAAAGCTCGCGGCCACTTTCCCCTTTCCATTGGAATTTTCGAATCATCCCTCCCTTTTCTTCGAACGGTGTTAAAAAGAGTTGGATGTTTACAAATAGGTTAGTTGTCAGTAAAAGTTGTGTAGTGAATAGTGGGCCAGATTGACGGTTCTAATTAAACCCAATTTGTGAGAGGAACCTTGCGTTAATTTAGAGTTTGCCATCAAAATACCAGGTTACATTCACAGTCTTAATTGAAATTCAAACCTCGAAGGTCTGTATTAATTTTCTAGAAATCTACTTGATTGCCAGGATGCATTGCTTGTTTATAAAAGAAACAGATCTTTGGTGTTTATTAGTGTTGCCAGGATTAGTATCGTGTTTACGGACTTACGGAATAACGTTATGTTCCCAAACGTCTCAGTTTCTGGGAAATTTCCTATGTTCTCAGGAAAATTGGATTTCTTATGATCAGGAAAATAGGATTAATACATAAAGCTCGTTAATATGTAGAAATAAAAGCTCTTTGATCGTCATAGCTGCTTGTTATTGTATTAATTACGGCTGTCGTCAGTAATTTGTTTGTTACCTAAATATCTCTCACTGTTTAGAGACGTTAATTATTTTTAAGTTATATTAAAGTTAATGCTCTCGTTTCTTTTGCGAAAAAAAATTAAGCACGAAGTGAACTCAGCTGTCACTTAGCTGAGTTCACAGCCGTTCAACAGCCTTACCCAGAAAGGTTTATTTATTTTAGTGCTTACTTAACTCATGGAAAGAATGTGACAGCATCCAATTTAGTCAATCTTAAAAAAATATTTGACTATTCTCTTAGTGCAGCGGTAACTTTATCATCTATTCATAACCATAAAAAGCTAATTTATCTATCTATGTATTTTTAAGAGAGGTAGATCATAGTAGAGTTTCCGCTCGAATTCGATCTCCTGTTTAAATTAACCTCACCATACAGAAGAATACAGAGAAATATCCTTTTGGTGGTGTTGTGTCAGTAGGTAAGATTTCCAAAATTTCACAGGATAGAGATTAGAGTAAGGGTGATACTTTGTTACCGCAAGCACCAAACTCTACATCTGTTTGGGGTCGGTGCAAACTTGTAAACAAGCTAAGCTACCACCAGCCCGAACCTAGACAGAACCGACGGAAAACGGTCGTCGTTCGTTAGTCACTCCTCCCTCTGGGACTCAAAATTCTAATAATTCCGTAAAATTAATAGTCTAAAATTAGTGATGGTGATCTCCAAGTAGCTGCCAATCTTCTCCTCAGTCACGATGTTGTCGCCGTCAACTGTCAGGAGACCCTTAGTGCTCTTGAAGACAAGCACCCAACTCCAGCACCGACTCTTTTCCTACCTTCGCCACCTGATACAAAATATCCTTAATTAATAAGCAAAGAAGTTGATATCTCAGCTGCGATATTCTCATTTCAAAGTGGCTCTGCCAGTGGTTTAGATGATCTGTCACCACAACATTTAAAAGACCTCCTTTCCGACTTAGTCGGTCACGCTGGCACTCTTATTACACAATATCACTCTTTTGGTGAACTTAATGCTATACGGCGAAGTCCCTGAAGACATTGTAGAGATCCTGTACAGGGCCAAATTAATTGCTCTAAATAAAAAAGACGGCGGTATTCGCTCTATAGCTGTTGGCTGTTTTAGCCTCAGTTTCAGCTTATTTTCAACCGGTTCGGCTTGTCTTTGGCGTCAAGGGTGGCTGTGAAGCAGCCGTTTATACTCTTCGAAACTTTCGCTTGACGCTGCGGAGGTGGTGCTAAAGTTGGATGTCAAGAACGCCTTCAACTCTATAGATAGAGGTGCCTTGCTTTCAGGATCAAAAGAAAAAGCTCCTACTATTTATAATTTAGACTACTCATTCATTCATTTAAATTACTTTTGGCAATGCTACTGCAAACCTACTAAACTTATTTTTAAAACAACCTGTAAAAACGCCTGCGCGGCGGCGGCCTCTGCTGTGTGCTCCAAACGGCGCAAATATTCAGCTCTTAATCCCCTTTGAGGGGGTAATTTAGGAAAACTAAAAATGACAAACTTTATAATTTATTGAGATAAGTATTCGTACCAAGTTTGAAGTCTATTAACTCAAGGAATTAGATTTTTTATACAAACTATCATCCTCTATTTTAACTCCTTCGGGGTAAATTTTGAAAAATATATTCTTAGTGCACCCCTAGACTTCATAAGGAACCTACATACCAAATTTAGAGTCTCTGGACTTAGCGGTTTAGGCTGTGCGTTGATATATCAGTCAATCAGTTTCTTCTTTTATATATTTTGATAATTTACCATGCAACCTACCATGATCATCTAAATTTAAATTATTTATGCCCAAGGCTATCTGTATCTTTTGTTTCTTTATTTCACAATTGGTCTGTCGTATTGGTTATGTTCAGATGCCTGTTCAATATGGGTGACACAATAATAACATGTTTGCAAAAAATAATCATTCTTTTAATTTTATAATTTTGTCAAGATTGCACACTTTGTTAATATTGTCGGTAATGCATGCCGTGACAGCCTATAATTAGGATACCACTTTGAAATGTTATTTATAAATTATTGTTGTGCTATGTTTTAAGTGGATATTCTTGTTGGTTGTCCTTAAATAAATTAAATATGAAACAAGTATTTCAGCCACTTATTTCATGATCACAATAATGCTTGTGATACTGTTAAATAGTTTATTCATACTTAAAAGAAAAATAACTTTGTAACAAATAAACTGTTAGAAAAAACAACATTTATTAAGACGATATAATTAATTATTTTGTACTTAAAGTACACATTTAAATATTAAGAAACGTACTTTAACATGTAAGCTTTACAATGCGTCGATATCTCTTACAGGTACTTTTATAATACACGTATTAGTTATTAAAATAATATCTAAATACGTTTAACCCTGTTAACATACTGCAATAAATTTGGCAACGTCAAGTTAAATTTGGAGCTTGTAGATGTACAGATCTGAGGTTTAATGTATATTTGCAAAAGTATTCTCGTTCCATACTAACTCGATAATGCGTCATGTCCTGGTAGCATGAACATAACAATTTACATTAAATCACGTTTTTTATCACATCTTTCTGTCAAACTCTATACTAATTTGAAAATTCAGCGCGATACAATCCAGCTTTATATCATATCGCGGTGCTCATGCTAGGGGACAGATCGTCTTGTCATTTACATTCTGGCACACATAATACACATAAGGATTTAAAGTAAAATTTTAAAATGGAAGCTCAGCCTGTCTTTAGGCATGACACATTGACACCTCTTCTGGTGTTTTCATAATTTTAACGTGATAACGTCTTATAAATCCATGAGCACCGGCTGCATGCACGAAAAATGTGCGTGATGTCATATTGTCACGAATTAGTTCAACGTTCCGCGATGAACACCGGCTGAATGCACGAAGTGTGCGTCATGTTACATTGTCACGAGTTAGTTCAACGTTTCGCGGTGTGTGTGAGGTGAGGTCGTCACCAACTCCGCAAACCCCCAGAGCCCTGTTTTTTGGCAAATTTTGTTTATTCGAAAAAATATGTAGGTACCGTTGCGTACTTGATTACTTGATACAAAGCGATGTAGCGGTTTGACTAACTTAAAAGAGTCTACGGGAAAAATAATATAGTATATTAGATTTTTACCCACGTGGACTTTAAGGGAACATTGAGCTTTCTATTTTAAAACAAAATTATGTTTCCGTCAAAACTGTACGCACCCTTACAATACCCAAAATACAACTACCATTAATTAAAAGTTATCGTTCTTGCAATAATTAATAATAATCTTGCAATTATCCGAAAATGTCACGTTGTCTCCTTCAAATATGAAGTCTCATAAAACATTTTTTTTTTTAATTTTATTCATCGGAATGGGGTCAAAAATATTTATAAATAGATATAAGTAGCAGCAAACTATTTGATAAAAACCACAGACAAATAGACTTACTTACTTACTTAGAGAACACGATTTTGATGTGAAATTGCTACTGCGCAAGCTTCCTGGTCAATGCTCAAGAAGTTTGCCGAGCTGTGTATATTATAATTTGACACAATAGTATTCGTTAATCTAAGTGATATGGTGAAATTTGGTAACAGTAAAGTCACACACACACTCATAAAAATGTTAAAGAAAAAACAAATCAAAAGTCTCTATTATTTTTAACAGTGTTTTATAAAAGGCAACAATAATTTTCACTGCATTATTAAATACTTTAACATGATCGTTAATACTGCACTTGATTTTAATTAACAATCCGGTATAAGTATACTGTTGAATTATTTATCATAAACTTTACGGCGCCTCTTCGATTCGGCCTAATAATAATACAGACAGCCACACAACAAAGGTACCACAAACTTTAAGTACAATTTCCTCGATAGATTGTGAAACTTATATCAAGTTACATAAAGCTCAAAGTCAGTTGAAGAATATTTACAATTTTGGATAACTTCATCTGTGGCTGTTTTTACATCACATACAGTTATGCTAGGCAGCACATCATCATAATATCTTCTGATGTGTTTGAGAAAAATGAAACCGACACTAAAAAGAAACAAATATCTACATTTCATAGCTATTGCACGTGTTATAAAACATCAGTGTACAACTTTAAAACTTACGGCTACACTATCTGAGTGTGGCCGTAAGTTTATAAAGTTGTACACATATTAAATAAATGCTTCATTAAGTTACTAGTCAGCGCATTTGCTTCAATTAATCTAAATTCGTTATTTAATTGTGCGCTGTTGTAATATTCTATAAAACAATTTTTGGGTCTCGATTCCGTTTTTTCAAACATAGAAGGAGTTTATATAGAGAAGGAAAAAAATTAAAAAGAAAATAATTTTTGGGAAGGAAACCGATCTAAATACGAAAATTCTATAGAAAAAGACGTTTACAAACACGCATTCCAAAGTAACACTCTATACGCAACTATGCGCTTCTTGCAATAGTTCATCATAAAAGACCACCCGAATTGTCAAAATTAAATAGCAGCAGCTTAGCTAAATTTAAACTTTAATTTTGGATAATCATGCTCGGTATAGTTTTATAACGAGTATGATTGGTAATTTCGAGTTTTTCATATATTTGTACATAAACTTTCAAAGATGTTTCTGAATGCCATGTTGCTAATTGGAATACAGAAAAAGCGCAAACATCATACAAAATAATTCTATATTTGATTAGTGCTTGATGAGTATAACGGAGCGTTATCTTAAAATGTCCTATATAAATCCAAGGAAGACTTTATTTTTATTTAAATTATTCGGTTTTATATATTATAAATCACATTAAATTAAGTTAAAATCAAAAGTCTTTTACTAAGTAAATACTCTTAGAAAAAACATTATTCAACATTTGGAAACGTGTTTGTGATGTGAACAGTTTTTCTTTCTTTTGATAATTCACTGATTTTTCACTTTGTAACAGTTTGATATTTGGAATGGTATTTAAACCGGTACTTTCACATGCTTTTTGATTGCCTTGAGCGAAGCACTTAATTACAGCATATTTTCTGCTAGGAACTTCTCCAAACCGTGGTAGAGATGAGGCCGTACGCCTGCTAATGAATGATCTTCATCCGTGTAACTCTGCGAAGGAAAATATAACAGATCACGTATATTTAACTTTATCGTACGAAAGAGGCACTGTAAACAGTTCAGGATCCAAAGACCGCTAGACCTTACTTATTTTCTCATTTACAACATATGGACATTAGAGTAGTATTAGTGTGTACAATGAACGTTTACACGTATGTTTTTTACTTTCGTCATTTAAAGTGACTGAAATTAAAATACTGCAGACAGAATGTGCCTGGAAGTATTTATTTAAAATTGTTTACAATATTCTCTACAACATACGTAAGAATCAGTACTCAGAATGTAAGTAAAGTGAGAAATATTTTTAAGTTCCTGTGCCACCTGATACCTGAAAATTGCCACCTATGCCCACAGCACAAGTTGACAAGTATGTATACGTTCATTGTACACACTTATATTACTCAATTATCCAAATTTTGTCCATGAGAAAATAAGTAAGGTCTAGCGGTCTTGGAATCTTACTTTAAAAATGACACTGATTTAAATTATAGATATTTCACGAACTGCAGCAAGCACTATGATTCGACTTTTTTTTTTATTTGTGAGAGCCCTCATCATCAGCATGAGTCTATTAATGTCCTCACTGTTGGGGCAGACAGACTTTCTCCCTATACAATCCATAGGGAGATCGAGCCAAGATGGTGGGTGCTGATGACCACAGATGCAACCAGGATCAACACCGGCTCAATCTGCCTTTTGAAGCAAGAAGGAGCTCAAGATAATAATAAACTTTCGGTCCTATAACCGACCATTGTGGAAGTTGCTTGACTTCGACAATCGCAAATCAAATGCGCTTTGCGGTATTACGAGCCGGCTTCTCGGATCTCTTAATAAAATCTCAATCTGATTAAAACACTAGTGAATCGATGTCTCAGGTATACTTTCTCTATCTTATAATGTGTCTTCGCTTTCGCTGAAGAACGGCTTTTCAATCAAACTCAAGTCTACTTTAAGTTAAAAACGTATCAGACTCACCATCTGCGTGAAGTATACGTCCCGTCTCTGTAATTGCCTCGATAGAAGCATGGCGTGCTGGTAATGCACATTGTCGTCTGCTGTTCCGTGGATCAGCATGTACCGCTTGTTCCGGAACGCATCCGCCTACGCAATTATGTATTATTTTTAAGTAATATTATTATGCATGCTCTGGTTTCAAACACTTTTGTTAAGGAACTCAGAAAAGATGAAGGGACCTGCAGTTTAGTTGTAATAGGGATGATGACTAATTTTTTTTCTTCGTTTATCAGGTAGGTTATAAAAAAGTGTTGGACACGTATTTTTTCTTTTTTCACATAATATAAACATTGCAGAGATATATTGATTTGAAAAGTCGCATGACGTCACGTTTGAGTACACTTATAAGTGAAAATTCACTCAAAAGTGACGTCACGAGCCCCTACTCCCAAACTTTGACGCGCTATAACTTTGTCATTTTTTGGTTGATTGCCCAAAGAAAAAATACGTGTCCATTATTTTTTGATCATCTAACTGGCGGACTAAATAGAATTTCGTATAATGTACCCCGTCATCTCCCCTATTATGGGCAATTAGGCCAACCCCAGATACACTCAAGAGCAATGAATCTGGGTCACTTAAAAAATCCTCAAAATCTCGCAAACTAGGAATTCTAGCTTAATGAAATAAATTCAAACTTTAAATTTTAAATGAAGATATTAAAACCCTTAGTTATTGTAAAGTTATATCATAAAAAACAAATTTTAAAAAGGGAGACTTTCGAAGATGGAACTACGAAATTACTGCATTTGTTTTTTCTCTTGTTTCTAATCTGTCATTTATCATTTATATAATCCATGTCGATAGTGTTCAATATTAATTATTAAAGCTGTAAACATGTCGCTTACACCTGAAGAATGCACCAGAATTCTCACAATGCTGGGAACCGGCCAGAGTCAGCGCGATACAACCAGGACTGTCGGTCGGTGTGTCGCTGTCAACAGTACACAGAGTTCTCAGACGTTACGAGGAATTTTTTTTTTGTTGACAATGGAAATTGCATTTACGCACCGTACCCCGCGCTGGCTGGGCGCACGGCATGTGTGGGACTCCCCGGCGCAGAACAACGCCGGTCCTACCCACTAAAAACCACCGGTACCCTCCTACGCCCATATGGGAGCGTCTCAGGATCGACGCACCTTAGTGTGCGCCACTTCACTGGGACGCCCCCGGGCTGGCCCGGCCCAACGAGTGGACCGGGCGACACGCCTCTGGGAGATTGCGCTAGGGTACTAAGCAATCCCCAGACGGGGTGGCCTATGCCGAATGGCACCAAGGGCACGCGGCGGCCAAGCCGCGCCCAGACTACCTTAGAGCCGACGAAGACGGGCAGTCACAGCTGCCAGCCTTCTTCGGCCCACCCGTCTACGTCGGAGGGGAGCGGCTAGAGCATCCTCCTCCCGCTCCCTCTCCGCTACCTCCTTCTGCCCCATCAAAACTTCGCAGAAGGAGGCGGCAGCCTTCCATGCCCTCTCATTGCCAAGCATGGCTCGAACCATACTTGGCAATGAGAGCGGTCCTCCACCGAGCGCCGCCATCAACGTGCGGCGCTCGTTTCGCCGGGCCGGGCACACGATCAGCGTGTACTCGGCCGTGTCGTCGGGGGAGGCGCAGTGATGACACCGCGGCAACTTCTCCCGACGGGCGACACGGTGCAGGTAGTGGCCGAAACACGTGTCCGGTCAGTACCTGCATCAGGCGGTAGGTGAGGCTGCCCCGCTGGCGCCCTACCCACTCCTCCAACACCGGACGGATCGCCTCGATCGTCCGGTTGGCGAGTGCCTCGCCCCATCGGCGCAGAGCCTCCCTCTGCGCCTGGGTGCGAACCCGTTCGATCTCCTCCCGAACGGGCCGCTCGCCCCGCTCTCTCGCCGCGGCCCTTTGTCGATGCACCTGGGACAGAACCAGGGCATCGATCTCCTACGGGAGCGTACCTGCGAGGACGCAGGCAGCCCCGTGGCTGACCGTGCGGTAAGCCCGCACGGCCCGGGCCGCGATTACCCTCTGTGGTCTCCGTAAGAGGGCCTTTGTGCGGGACGAAAGGCACTTCGCCCACACCGGGGCTCCGTACAGTGCCATCGACCTTATCACTCCATTATAAAGTCGACGGCACGACGCCCTCGGCCCTCCCACATTGGGGAGGAGCCGTCCGAGTCCGGCTGCGGCGGCGCACAGCGAGGAGCCTAAAATGCTCCTCGAACCTCCACCGGGGATCCAGGGTCAGGCCGAGATACTTCATGTACATCTCGACATGAACCTGGATCCCCTCAACCCGGACACGGAGCCCCAGTGGGGTCCTGCGTCTTGGGGCATGGAACGCCATGGCCCTCGTTTTATCGGGGGCCACCTCCAACCCCAGGAGGCGGATGCGTCGGACGACCATGGATGTGCCGACCGACGCAAGGTGGACCGCCTCCTCCCACTCCTTCGCTCTCGCCGCGACAAGGGTGTCGTCCACGAAGCAGACGACATCCATTCGCAGCAAGAGCGAGCCACGCAGGACCCAGTTGTACCCCAGGTTCCATAATAGAGGACCTAAAACGGAACCTTGGGGCACACCCACCGCCACTGTCCACGACTGGACGCGCCCGTCCGCGTCCTCGTAGAGAACTGACCGGTCCCGCAGGTAGTCCCGTACGAGGGCGCGGAGGTAGAGGGGCACTCGGTGGAATTCGAGCGCCGCCTCTATGCACTCGTGGGGGATGGTGTTAAACGCGTTCGCGATGTCCAGGGACACCGCGATCACCACCTCCCCCCGTGCTGTGGCCACCTCAGTCCACCTTTTGAGGTGGCCTATCGCGTCCATCGTGGACCGGCCGGTGCGGAAGCCGTACTGGCAGTCTGCCAGATCCGGCCCCGTGCCCTCTATGTGCTCGATGATCCGGGAGGCGATGATTTTCTCAAACGCCTTCCCGGACTCATCGAGTAGCACCACCGGCCGATAGCCCGCCGGAGAGTCCGCCGAGCGGCGCTCTTTACGGAGCAGGCAGAGCCGCTCCTCTCTCCAGCGCCTGGGGAAGCGACCCGACGCGATGCATACATCCAGCACCGCGCGGAATCGGTCCCCCAGGGGGCCCAAGGCGATCGCCATCACCTTGGCTGGGGCCCTATCTGGCCCCGGAGCCTTGTTACGGCTCCGGAGCCGGTCCCTCACCATGTCAAGCTCAGCGTCCGACACGGAGGGACCAGCGGCCCACGCCTCCGGGGCGAAACCGGAGGCCAACCCTGGCTCCATACAGGACGTAGAGGGGGCCGCCGAAGCGAACTTACCCCTCACCGCCCTGTACGGCTTCCCCCAGGCGTCGCTGTCTAGGATAGCTATGTAACTATCCCAGGAAGCGACCTTGGCCCTACAGATAGCAGTTCGCAGGGCCCTGTGGGCCACATTGTACGCCCGGCGGAGGCTCATCTCCTCACCGGGCGTACTCCGGGCGCGCCTACTGCAGCGTAGGTAGGCGCGCCTGGCCCCCATACTGGCGGTACGTAGGATCGTGAGCTCCTGCGTCCACCAATATACCTGCCCCCTGCTCCGTGGGCAAGCCCGCGCCTTCGGCATGGCGGCACTGCAAACAACGTTGATGTCGTCTGCGAACAGGTCCGCCATGCCGTCGGCATCCCCGGCGACAGTGTTTGGCACTTCATACCAAGCCCGCACTGTCGCCGCCTCCGCCGCCACATCAGGCTGGAGGCGTGTGAGCATCCAGCGCCTAAACGGTGAGACGCCCACACGGGGGCCCAGGTGACTGGGGGCCCCAGGGGATGCCGTGGAGACCTCATATCGGACGTATCTGTGGTCCGATAGGCTTCTCTATGTCCACCACCACCCGCCAGTCCCGGACTCGGGCCGCGAGCGGTGGGGTGGCAAAGGACACATCTATTAGAGACGTGCCCTGCCAGCGGGCGCAGGTCGGGGTGGTACCTCGATTGAGGATCTGGAGCCCCCGAGTGGAAGCCCAGGACTCCAGCACACCACCCCGAATGTCAGTGCGGGGTGACCCCCACGCCGTAGACTTGGCGTTGAAGTCCCCTGCCACCAGTACCTGACGGGGGGCCGCGCGGTGGACGACCCCTTCGGCCGCAGCCAGAAACCGCTCAAAATCGGCTCTGTTGCGGTTAGGGGAGAAGTAGGTCGACACTACCACTACTTCTCATGAGGAGGGCGGCCCCTGACCAGCGGTGGGTTACATTTGCCCCCCCCCATCCGGTGCCCGGCTGCCAGTCCTCCGTCCGCGCACACGTCGCAGTGCGGCGGAGCGGAGCAGCCCTTGGCTTTATGCCCCTCCTTGCCACAGCGGTAGCACAACCCGCTGCGGTCCTTTTTGGAGGGCCATTTGGCCCCGGCACCTATGGCACCTCATCGGGCGCCGTTCCAGGAGACGGACCGTCGCCTCAAACCAACCGACCTGTAGCCGCCCTTCCTTTACAATCTTGGCGGCCGCCTCCATGGGACATGAGACGATCGCCGAGCCCGCCCCACTTTGACCGGGGGAAACTGCCCCGACCCTTATGGTTTCAGGGGGGCAGCCGTACTTAGTTGCCAGGGCCGCCCTCAGCTCCTCGGGTGTTGTGGCATCATCCAGCCCCGACACCCGGACGTCCACCGTCTTAGTAGGCCTAGAGACCTTAGCTGTCCCGCCTAGGGCCTCTCCCACTTTGGCCGCCAGTGTGTCAGCCTGGGCCGCCGTGGTCCCGGACGGGAGCTCGATGATGCGAGCTCCTGTGATTGACGTCCGAAACTTCCCTGGGCCAATGCCCAGTTCCCCCCAGTTGACGGACTGCCTGGCCTTGGCCAGGTCATCCTTATAGGTGGCCCCCTCGGCCACCGAATCCGGTTTGAGGGCCACGACCACCGCCAGCGTTTTCGGTGGCTTCGGGACCTTATTGGCCTTTTTCTTCTTGACCTTTTTCTTCTTGTCCTTTTTCTTCTTAGGCCGTTGGGCCGCAGTGGTGGGCACTTGGGCTGGTGCCAAAGCCTTCTTCGGCTTCCCCCCCTTTCCCACTGCTATCCACTCTCCCTCAGCCACCTGTGGCGCACTCCCGCTGGGATTCGGGTCAGCCGCCGGCCTCTCCTTCCTCACAAACTGACTCTAACCTATGCATACCAGGAACAGGCAGAACCAGGTGTACCACAGCACGAGAAGATCGATACTTGTTGAACACCTTGCTTCGTAATCGCTTTTTCACAGGAACTGCAATTACAAATCAGTTTCGACGTCTCGGAGAAAGTAACCCAAGCGCATGGACAGTAAGACGACGACTTGCTGAAGCTAGCTTGAAACCACATAGACCTGCAAACGGCTCTTAACTGGAGCGTGAGCATCGTATTTCAAGACTAAGTTAAGCCAAGAACCACTTAAATTGGACTATTGATTATATTTTTTAAAGCATGTAACTGCTTGATATTTAAATCTAAAGAAAATATAACAATCTTTGGACTATTGATGATTGGTCAAAAGTTATGTTCTTCGATGAATCAAAATTTATACTCTACAAGCACGATGGAAGACATAGACATAGAAGACCTGTGGAAAGATTCAAGCAAACATGCATCTAAGAAAAAGTAGCCTACGGTGGTGGGTCTTTACTTGTGTGGACCGGTATATCTTCTGAGAGACGCACAGAACTGGTGTTCATAGAAAACAGTTCTTTAACTAGCGAAAAATATGTGGAAAAAAACTTGAATGAACGCGTTGGTCCATTTATAGTCAATTTGGGTGAGGATGCTATTTTTATGCATGACAATGCCCGACCTCATACAGGTGGTTTGTGAATGACTACCTTCAAGAGATGAACATTACTCGAATGGAGTGGCCAGCACGCAGCTCGAATATAAGTAATCAAATATAGTTTTTAAAATGTTTAATACATATTTTACAAAAAAATAAAAATTACACTATTGTATGGCGTGTGGAAAAAAACAGTAAATCTAAGTTATTGTACTGATCATTTTTTATAACTAGCTTTTTCGCATACTATGTATTCAAAAATCTCTTTATAATACCTACGAGGAAATTTCGTCACTGCTCGTCCTAAATTGTTAAATTCCGCTTCACAACTTGGAGCCCAAAACATGACAAACATATCGCATACACGCACTTCAAAATCTACTCTATATCTATCTGTTTCGCTACATTTACACCTCGCTGAACTTTACCACTGTAGGAAGCAAGCTGTTCGATATCAAATAAGGAGAACTTACCACTTCTTGAGTAAGAAGCGAAGATTGAGCGTAGCCATCCACATTCACACTAGGTAAGTCCATGTAGCGCTCTGTGTATATGGTGTCTGTAATATAAAGCATATGTATGTATGATCTTCAGTGCTTCGTAAAGAACACATTTATTTGCTGCAAACTTAATGGAAATTGGCGTATTTCTGCGGCGTAGCTGCCAGCCATTGTATGATCGCGTTTTTCATTACAAACCGGTTAGCAGGTCGCTAAAAGTTATCGTCTAAAGCTCCTCCGTGCGCATCCGTTACGACAGTCCCTGTGCATCTGCATTCGTGAGCACTCAGCAATTTGCAATGAGTTTGGGTTGTGGGTTGATGATTATATCCATAGAGAAAGCCTGTGTCCCAAAAGTGGAAACTTTAGAAGCCTAATGATGCTTTTGATGTTTGCCTACTTCAGGAATACTAGTAACATGAACATATATACATACGTATGCATATTGAGCATACGTTTTTATAGAAATATTGAGCATGCATGAGCTCAACCATCCGGAACCCATGGATACATAAAATTTTATGAACACCATTTCAGTCATCTTGGAAGAAGATTCATAAATTACACACGGACAGAAGAAATACATATTTAAAGAATCGCATTAGGTATAACAATATTATAGAAGTAGGTTTACGATATTATTTTATTGTTATTTCTACGTGTCGTATTCATATTAGTTAAAATACTTCAAAAGGAAAAAACACATACCATAGAATCTCCAGTCAGCGACTGGCGCGACGGCGGCGGCGCATCGGAACACGTTTCCTCCGCGAGCAAGCGCCAGCGACGCCGCGTACCCGCCGTACGACCAGCCCCAGATGCACGTTCGGTTGCTGTCCACCCACGGGTGGTTGCGCTGCAGGTAGCTGGATACCAATAAAGTACACAACAATTATAGTAGTTTATGATACTGTTGCATAATGAGGGTTCTTATAACATGAGTGTGTTTTAAAAAAACGAGCAGTAGGCGAGTTTTTTTATAGTATCACACGAGTGTTATAAGACCAAGTTATGTACAGTGTCATACACTACTTTATCTACTCTCATACTATAATACGCAAAACAATATTGCAAATAAAACGCTGAATATAACAACAAATTTATTTTTACTTGTAATAATTATTGATGTTTTGAATATTACAATTATGAAACTGAATTTGAACCGGACAGGAAGCGTTATTGGAGATACTCAGAGAGGGTATGTTAATGTTGACCTCATTTCTGTTATTTTCAATACTGTTAAGTATTGAATTGGATACAGCGATCTTGTTAGTCATTGAAGCATCTATATAGCCTTCTGCAACTGTCGTTGACTTCCAGCCACCGTGTCGCTTTAGTGCCGTTATATCTCCACCAGCGTCAACTAGCAAGGTCGCAGATGTTCGGCGAAAGCAGTGTCCTGTGTACAATTCGGAGTCGGTAGGTTGAAGATAACTGGCAATAACTTTACCTAAAGCTCCAAATTTGTTAATGCCAACTCTCTGCGTCGTGCATTTTCCGGCAATATAGTTTAGAAAAAAACTGGGATTGCTGCACTCAGTTGGTCGTAGCTCTATGTATTTTTTGCACTGTTCATAATATTTCCCAGTAACGGTAAAAGAGCGGTCCGTCTTGGTTTTAGTTTTACTTATTTTGATCAATAGTGTACTTTCGAAGACTTCAACATCTTTGAATTGTATGTTGTATAACCCTTGCCGTCGGCAAGCACCCATTATACATGGTTAACTGATAAACAACTAAAATACCTTTGTGAAGAGATATAATGTGTCTGGGGCTTCATTTAAGAACTTGTTTATCTGCTCTGCTGTAAAAGTCTTGGATTTTTTCCCTTTATATTCTTGTGAGTTTCGTTTCAAAAATGCAATCAGCTTGATGTATTTAGTTATGTCAACTTCGTTGTAAATATTGAGTGTACTTTTAATCATGGAGTATTTAACCCACATACTTGACACTTTATATTTTTCAGATAACTCTTGAAACTACGCTAACAACACATTTTCAGAAAATGATGTAGCATTTTTATTCATTTTCCATTCCATGAATTCGTGGTAACATTTATTATAGTTGCTCCTAGATTTCGCCGGCAACAGGATCATGGACATGTTTGACGCAGCTTCCAGAATGTCTGGTGGTGTACAATCACCACTATCCCCGCTTTCAGACATGTTTTTACACAAAAACTTATGTATTTTACAAACAAAACCAAACTTTATTTAAATATTGAAAAGATTTTTTATATGTCAAATGTTGGCGCCAAGGTGCAAACATCGATTGCGCATGCGTGTTGCATTGTCGCGGACTCGTTCATTGAAACCTTTTTAAAGTAGAGGTTCAACCTCCTTGGTCCAGCTGGAAGTTGTATAGGTGTATCGTTAAGATTAAAAAGTTATATTATGTTACAGGTGTCCATACAAGACCTGTATCGTAATTAAACTTTTTTTTATTATTTTTGGCCTGTACGTAATGTTTGTCATAAGCATTTTGTTTTCAGTTTTAGAATCTTTGTATTAAAGTATCAGAGTAGATAAATATATAAATACACTCCCGCCGCGGGCGAGCGCCAGCGACGCCGCGTACCCGCCGCACAACCTGCCACAGATGCACGTGCGGTTACTGACCACCCGCGGGTAGTTGCGCTGCAGGTAGCTGCATACCAATAACGCACACATCAATCAATATATGAACACACTCCCACCGCGGCCGAGCCCAGCGACGCCGAGTACCCGTTATACGACCAGCCCCAGATGCACGTGCGATTGCTATCTACCCACGGGTGGTTGCGCTGCAGGTGTCAATATATAAACACAATCCCGCCGCGGGCAAGTGCCAGCGGCGCTGAGTACCCACCGTACTGTTATAACCCGACTTAGTAACCATAGAATGCTAATTCAACAAAACGTGTATAACTGTAATTTTCCATATAATTAAACTGCAGAGTTGCATTAACGCAGCCCTCACATTATTCCATCAATTCCCACAGTGCAGTTAGACTTTGGCAACGGGAAAGAACAGTCCATCCGGGTAGCTCAGGACTTGGTACTCGAGTTCGCGTGTGTAATTGTGTATATCAAAAATCATTAAATTCATATCCGGGAATTTTGGGTTTTTTTTAAAAAGACGATCAGCGCCGGCCTCCTAACAAATTGGTGTCAGAAGTGGGATTCCGTAAGTGGCTTCCGTTGAAGTCCCGGAATCCAAACCCTAGGCCTCTATCGCGTCATCGTCACAGTGGACTGATCGACAGTAAGCCTCAGCGCGTTTCTGAGCCTGCATCAGCCACTAACAGCAGAACACAAGGTCGACGGTCAGCCTCCGCTCTGTAGCGTGAGCCCGCACCACCACACCAACTCCGAGTACCTCTCCAGCAAGGTCGACGATCAGTCTCCGCTCTGCAGCGTGAGCCCGCACCTGTCCAGCCGGTCTAACTCACCACACCATCCACATCCATCATCACTCCGTAACTCCAACAACGTGGTTACCAACCACGTGTCGCCACGTGATCGCCACCGCGCCGCGCCGTTGTTCGCCGCGCCAGCTCCCGCGCTAAGTAGCGCGACCTTCCCCAGTCTCCAGCCACGTGTTTTGTGAAAAATGCAAGTGAGCGTAGTGTTTCTGTGAGTGTCTAAAGTTTTATTTACTATTTTTGTGCTATTTCTATTTCCTATACAATATTTTACACATAAACTTATATTAGATTCATATTGTAACTTAATTCTATAACATTTATAATATCTTATTTTAATGGAGGCAGATTTAAAATCAGAACTTGCTAAGATGACTAAGAGCTCTGAATCTGGGTCGACCGAGAAGGCAGAAAAAATCACCCTCTCTGTCCTTACTAAATTTATAAAACCTTATAATGGTGATAGGGAATCACTTCCCGCTTTCCTTACAAACTGCGATAATGCTATGTCTTTAGCTACCCCAGAACAGCAAAATGTTCTTTGTAAATTCATAATTTCGCAACTAGAAGGCAAAGCCCAAGTTGCGTGTAGCCTTAAAACTTTTGTTACGTGGAACGAAATTAAATTATTTCTAAGGAGTACATTTGGCGAGAAAAAGCACTCTACACATTTACTTGTCGATCTGCAAAATTGTAAGCAATTACATAATGAAGATGTTACTAAATATTCATTAAGGATAGAAACTATTTTAACTAGAATTTTATCTGATATACATTATAGTTGCAAGGATCGGAATGAGCTTCCTGGCAGGATTGCCGCCATGGAGGACCTTGCTCTTAATACTTTCATGTTAGGGTTATGTAGTTCAATATCGAATATAGTCAGATGTAGAAATCCCTCAACGTTAAATGAGGCGGTACAACATGCTATTGAGGAGGAGAAATTATTTAATTTATCGAAATCTAGTTTCACCAAATCTTATAAACAGTGCTCCATATGCAATAAAACAGGGCACAGTTCATCTGAATGTTATCATAAGCATAAAAAGTCTCCCAAAAATACATCTCAGTTCCACAGATCTTATCACGTTCCTTATAATTCTAATAATGTAAAATGTAATTATTGTAAGAATATAGGTCACAAGCTAGAACAATGCCGTAAGCGGCAGTATAACATACAGCGTCGCGAAAACGCTAACCCAGCGCAACGTGACTATCATTCGCCGCGTGCAACTACCAGTAGTGACGCGAGGTTGCATATTACGCAAGAGTCCGGGTTGGATTCCCGCGACAATAATTTAAACTAAATAAGATTTCGGTGCCGTGTCTGTCGTAATCGAAATTTCTATTGAATGACACGAAAAATAATTCTATATCTTCTAAATCTACTAAATCTTGTAATCCTAAATCTTATACATCTCTGCAGGGACATCCTCAGAGTCTATCTTCATCCCGAGACATGAGCTCGAGTGATGTCACATCTCAGCCTCAATCTCCTAAATCTTTTACTAATTCTAACAAGCGTCCTACTATATCTTATAATCGTAAAAAGTTAACCAATAACGTAAATAACACTGATTCTTGTGATGATAATAACTCATTATCTATTTATGAAACTACTATAAATATTAAGAAAATATCGTTGTCTCATATATTTTAAATTCGAGTTACTCTACGGAACCCTTATCGTTTCTCGTAGATACAGGCGCAAGCATAAGTTTAATAAAGCAATCAAGTATAAATAAGACGCCTGATTTATCTCATAAAATAATCAAAATAAAAGGGATTAATAACACAGAATCTTGTTCTGTAACTCTAGGCACATTCGAAATGGATTTTATATTATCTAATAATATATTGTCTTATCAATTACATCTCGTTAACGATGACGTCAACTTAGATTATGACGGCATTATAGGCAGTGATTTTCTAAGCTATCATAACGTTGTTATTAATTATAATTCTAAAATATTATATTTAGGCGGAGATATTCTAAGTTTAAACTTTGTTCAGCCTACATACATTGTTCCCGCGCGCTCCGAAGCCGTAATCGAATGCGCGATATCTAATTACGAGCCCGAGTGTTATCAGAACAATGAAGCACTCGTATTAGATCAAACCTTAAGTGAAGGTGTTTACGTCGCCAATTGCATAGTCTCTATCAAGCCAAATAAAAGAATAAATATTACTATTTTAAATACGACTGATTCGGACTTAGAAGTCAAAGATTATTTCGTAGAAGCAACACCTCTTGAACCTGTCGACTTGAATTCTAATTTACACGAAAATGTTAATTCTATTTCTTATTATAAATCAGATAGAGTACAAAAGGTTTTGAATCTTATTCGCTGCTCTCATCTTAACAATGAGGAAAAAAAATCTCTTTTAGAATGTTGCTCTCAATATACAGATATCTTTCATATCGAGGGCGAGCCTCTATCTCATACTAATGCAATTCAACAT